CGGAGCATGCTCGTGAGCGCGGCACAAGAAATCAGAAAGCAGAGGAGTGAAAAGGAAGAGGAAAGACAACACGGCAATTCAACACAGCAGCCAGTTGTTGGAAACAATGCGCCAGCACCTGGTAAATATTTTTTTTTTTTGCAATTCCATTCATTTCACTTTGTAGATGCATGAAAAAAGAGATTTTTCAATATCAATGATTTTTTTTTCGACAGTGTTTGGCCTTGAGCTAAATGAAGTCGACAGTAATGGGCTATTGGTTGAACATGATATGTCAGTAACGTTGGAAATTGACTTGGAATCGGATGCAGCGCTGATAAATGAAGTTGATTCATATCTGTCTTGCCGAACTGCCACTAACATTGATGACGGGTTGAAAAACTTTCCAAACATTACCGAAATCTTCAAGAAATTCAACTCAATTCGCACATCAGAAGCTATTTGTGAACGTATGTTCACTTACGCTGGTAATACATTATTCGAACATTTTTTTATGTGAATTTTCGTCTATGTTCTGTTCAGTTCTGTATATGTTCCGTGTCTCGTCTCGTGTATTGTCATATATGTGGTGTTGGCTTTGGCATGTTGCTCAGGTTTTATTTATTGTGAACAGATTACGTCGAATTTGGGAACACTCCAGAGTCTGGAGTCTGATTGGATTTGGTTTGACTGATTTTCATCTATGGGTGAGGGCAGAGGCAAATTTTATGATTGCAAAATATGTATTTCAAATTTCAATTGACAACAGATTTCTTATATAAACTCTGTTTTTTTGTTTTGACAGGAATGATTCTCACCGACAAGCGAGGCCGTCTGACGCCTGAATTTTTCGAAGATCTTCTAATTCTTCACATGAACGAATGGAATTGAAAAAATGAGTACCATTCATTGAATCCATTGATTTGCATTTGCCGTAACTAACTTTTACGTAAACGTAGATATTTATTTAAATTGTTATTAAGTTCAGACGAGGCAAATAGCAAACTGAAAATATTGTTTCTTTTGGTTATTTCTTATTTTTTTGTACCTTTTTGTACAAACTGTACGTTTGTAACGTAGAAAAATTTATTTGTTGACAAATGAGAAATTGCTTTGAAGTTTAAACAAAA